TTGCTCAGAGTGATTAAAAACAACCCTCTCGCTCATCTGTGGGATACAGTTTGGTCTCGATCAGGCTTCACTTGCTGTTCCAGACATCTGCAGGCTATTTCACCCGTGTCATTCTCCTGAGTCAGGGTCGGCTTCTGAACATTTTTCTCATACCTGACCTGTATTCTTGCAGGTCAGGTAAAGAAAAATGTCTCAGATGTTCACAGGCTGGGGCTTGTTAGGAAAGCAAAGGCTCCCAGAGGTCCTTGAGTAAGCAGCTTCATGTGAGGTCTCTCCCCTTGACTTCCTCTTCTCTGTTCTTTCAACATCCCCAGTAAGTAGCTTCTTCCCTTTTCTTCCCTCCCTGGCCTTTCTTTCCTTCATGGCAGTAGAGGGTATCCATTCATTTAGCAAATGCTTATTGAGTGTCTACTGAGAGCGGGCTCTATTCACGTCCTTACCCTGACCTACCGGGCATCATGATCTGTCCCTGTCAGCTCCATGCCTCTCGTATCCCCCTCACTTACTCTGTCTCTCCCTCCTGGGCTTTCTTGGTGTTTCTCAGGCACACCACCCTGACCTGCACCCAGGCCCTTGCGTTGGCTGTCCCTTCTGCTTGGAACACTCTTCCTGAAGAGACCTCCAGAGCCTGCTCCCTTACCTTCCGGAGCATGTCACTTAATTGTCTCCTTCACATTGGACCTTTCCTGAACACCTCGTATGAAGCAGCCACCTCTGACCCTCCGATCATGTCCAGTCATCCTTACCAGCCCTCTTTTTCTCCATTGCACCTTTTACTGTCTCACTTAGTATATGTCAACTACTTATTAGTTTATTGTCTACCTCTGTCCACTACAGTGTATGTGCCATGAAGACAGGGGCTTTGGTTCATTCTCCGCTGTATTCCCAGTGCCCGAAATAGTGCCTGGACATAGGTCTTAGGAAATATTCGCTGGACGAGATGAAATGAGTGAAAGAATAAATAACTGGACGAATGAATAGAAAACCCAATGTTTCTAACCTCGATGAATGTATAATCTGGTGGGGGAGACTTAGAAGAAATAAAGAACCACGGCTTGTGTGGCAGGGCACCGACTCAGAGGCTAGTAAGTCTGACTAGCAAGGTTCAGATCCCTGCTCCACCTATTAGGTGTGTTTTCAAAGGCAAATTACTTTAGCTATCTGGGCCTCATTTTTTCATCTGTTAAATCAGAATAATAATAATACCATCCTGTAGGAGTACTGTGAAAATTAAATGACAAGAACATCATTTAAAGTGCTTAGCACAGTGCCTGGCTTATAATAAGCCCTTGAAATTTATCAGCTGCTATTATTATTGGATGACTTGCCAGAATCACGTGGAGCCTGGAGAGTTCTTCAGAACTCCCCCATCCTGGGCTGGTGTCCCTGAGATGTTCTGTTTGGGGGCAGAGGTCAGAAAGGCCCCCTACCAGAAGGACGGCCCCTGGCCACAGTTGTATCTTGGGGATTCTTTGAACCACAGATACCCCTGGCCCTCCTTTCAAACACATATTAAACATTTCATCCGCCCAGATGGGCTCTAAACAATACATTCATCCCCTCTGGAAGAAAACGGTTTCCTGTTTAAATATTAGCAACCAGTTAAACATTATGTTGGGGTTTTTTTCTCTTTTTCTAGTAATTTTTAGGCTGCAGTAAATAATTGCTTAAGGCTGTACTTTAGGAGATATTTGTAAACCTATCTTTTGCCTTGTGATACAGAGAAAACCATGTCAAAAGCCATTCTGACAATTTGTGTTTTAATTTGTCTTATGAGTTACCATTTAAAGAGGGGCAGTTTTTCATTGGTAAGCCTTCTTAAGAGGCTGGAGCTTTGATCTCAAATCCTAGGGAGGCTTTGTAGAAATTGGAGGTGACATTGTTGGCAGGTTTGTCTGTAGCTGTTCTGCTGCCACTAATTAAACACACGTATATACACGCCCTTTATTTACTCCCCTGGAGTAAATGAATTGAACTTGTCTTTGGTGTTTGATGGGAAGCTGTGAGAGGGTCCAGGAAACATCAAAGGAAGGCTCTTAATATACTAAAAACAGACTCTCAAATACCCAAGCTTGAGCATTAAAGAGTTCCTGATTCTGAAGCTGGTCTTGCTTCTTTACTGTAGGACATTAATTCTCCTTAATGATAAAAAAAATAGAATAAAAAAGTTCAGGGGCAAATAATCCCAGTCCCTTAAGTTCCAGAGGGTTACAGGCACTTTAATTTTATCTCACATCTAAAGGTCCCTTTTGTAGAATTGTATATGCATTTGTTTTCTTTGCGTTTTCATACCACTTACACCTTCACTATCTCAGCTTAAATAAAGATCTTAAAGCTTTATTTCTTTTGCATTTTAGTTTTAGATTTTTGGTATAGTTACAGCCACCCTGAACCTTTAGGAATGAATGAAAGCACAGACAGGCTAAGACACTGCATACGCAGCTGGGAACCTCGTAGCTGGGAACCCCACTAAACCACTCATTAACCCCCAGCAAGTAGCCATCAACATGCCTTCCGGGCACCTGTTTAAGTTCTAAGGAGTAGTGAGCAGAAGAGATAAAAATCCTGTTCTCATTGAGTTTATGTTCTAAAGGACAGTTAACATAATAAGTAAATTAATCACACAGTATGTTAGCAGGTGTTAAAGGCGGTGGTGTTAGAGTTGGTTTGTGTTTCTAATAGGGTGGCCAGGGAAGGCCTCGCTGATAAAGTGACATTTGAGCAGAGGCCCGAAGGAGCCGAGGGAGTGTGCCCTTGGCATAGGTGTGGGAAGAGGCAGTGGGGAGGGCAAGATTCTGAGGCTGGAGGATGCCTGGCCTGCGGGTGGAGCAGCAAGGCCAGGGAGCCTGAGGGAGAGGGAGTGAGTGTAGGAGACATGGTCAGAGATAATCAGGAGCAGGTCACTTAGGGCCTGGTGAGGCAGGCAAGACGTTGGCCTTTTCTCAGAGCGAGATGGGAGCCATGGGAGGTTTTGAACCAAGCAATGACATGATCTGATGGGCAGAAGCCAGGAGACTAGTTAGATGGCTGTGCATTGCTCTAGGTCAGAGAGAGTGGTAGGTTGAGCTGGGTGGAAGTGATGAGAAGTATTTAGATTCAGGACATGTTATAAAGGTGGAGTCAAAAGGATTTCCTGGCGGATTGGGCTGAGAAGAGGTAGGAATATCTGCGAACTCGCATCCTGAGCACCTGGACCACATGGACCTCTGCCACATGTGCATTATTGTTGATGGTTCTTACTGGTCTATTATTATCAGTCAGCCTGGTGATGATTATGAGCCTATAGACACTCTGATGGCTGAAAGAAATAACCTGTGTGGTCTTCTCAGCTTGCAGTATTCTGAGAAAATGGCCCTGGCGTCATTAATGAGAGAGAGCTTTGCTCACCAGGGCAGGTTGCTTCGTTTTCCCCGACACATCTGACTGCGCCTGTGGCATCTCGCTCTGGGGGAGGGACCGTGATAGTGTGGGTGCATCCCAGCCAGCATCTCAGCTCTGAGTCTGGAAAACGCAGAGAAGGAGCAGCAGAGTTTGAGAAGCTGAAGTGAAGACAAGGAATAGGAAGATCAGGAAACTTTTAGTACAAACACCTCTCAAGAGAAAAATTACAGGAGCAGTAAAATGTGTGTCTTTCTCTTGGGTTTTTCCTTTTTCTTTCCCTCACTCGTGCCTCCCAGTTGGAAGAGAAAAGATGCAGTATTTCTAGAATAACCATAGAGAATGAATGGAGGCCGGGCAGGAGAGCTTCTGGGTCACTCTGGCCAGATAGGTGGGGGGGGGTGCCGTGGCTGTTGGAGAGCCCCACTCCTCTCTGCAGCCCCCCAACGTCCTACTTAAATCAACCACAAAGCCTATTGTGAGAGGTCAGGAGGACACGGTTCACTATGATGATGGCCAAGGAGAGAGCCAAAAATTCCACTCTGTTTATTTACTGGGAGCCTCACTTCCCATCCACATGGGGTGGCGTAAATCTTAATCTGAGTTCTCACCCATGGAAGAGCAAAGGGTAGCCCAGGAAGCCCTCTAAGTAGCAGGTGCAGGACAGAATGAAGAGGAACAGGGAGGGCGAGGCCAGTGGAAAATATTTTCCGGAGGCCAAGAGGTCCATAAGGCAGATGAGCTCGGAAAAGGAGCAGTTGGAGGCGGGGTTAATGCCTAAGGGCACAAACTGGAACCTACCAGGATAGGGTGGCTGGGAGACTGACTGGCATTCAGTCAAACCAGATGGTGGATTTTCATTTTTAAAAGGATTTTAAATCCTAGGAACCAGGAACCATAAGGGTAGTGGGGCCTTTAATCCCATTAGTAGAAGCCGAAAGTGTGCTCTTTAAAAATGTAAACCCACCAATTACAGAATTCCTATTATCCAAACTTTGGCAGACTACCAGCTTGGGGAGCTCCAAGGAAACTCGAATTCTTCATTAATGGGAAGGCAAGCTAGAGAAATAGCCCAAGCAGTTCAGGTTAATGGAGAGACTCCTGAAGGGTTCAGAGTAAATCTGCTCCATGTACATTCTGAGCTAAAGAGAACACGATCCATTTGTATGAAATGGGCTTCCTTACATACAGAGTTGGAAGAATAGCTAACTGTAACCAGCTATTGGTTCTTTAGTAAATTATGAGTATGTACTGAGCCAAATTGTAAGATGTGAGCACCTGTTGCTTTGTAAAATATTGTGCCTTGGTGTCCCCCTTCCCTGGTTGCTGTGTCTGGGTTGGCTCAGCCTCAGTGCACCCACAGCCACTCTCCTGGGTGTGAGATGTCACAGTTCTGCCTTTTCACCCTTGTCTCTATCTCAGCTGTCACTTGAGGGTCCAGAATTATCTCCATAACCCTTTCCCAACAGGGTTTATCCTCGAAGAGATTTTTGGATGCTATTTCATAAATATTTCTTTCCTGAATTACTCCTGAAAAGAGTTATTCTTATTCCGGGGCTGGAATGAAATAGAGTTGCTTTCCAACACCATTGACTAGGCTTTGTTTGTTTTTACCCATCAAGGTACGGCAACCTGACAAGCCCAAGCTATGAAGAAGATGGAAGCCAGAGCTCATCGGAGTCCAGGATGGTGATCAGGAAGTGAGCATGTCTTTCTCTGCATTACAGGCTCTTAGTCAAGACTGACTGTCTTGAAAGAATATAGTTTAGTAGAGTTTTATTTTTTAATTCCTTTGGAATATTGCCATGTTTTCCCCCATAATGTATAAGCACAAAGAATTATTTTTTTGACTATCTAGTGACATTCATTTATCCATCCAGTAAAAATGTGTTGCGAACCTGCTGTTTGCCAGGTCCTGTGTTAAGGCACACAGCCCTGAACCATAAAAATAAGTCCCAGCTCTTACGCAGTTTCTGTTTTAGCAGAGAGACAACGAATCCACATAAAAAGGCATGAACTAGGTAAGGGTTCTAGATCCTGATGGAGAGTTTGACTTACTCTGGGTGCCAGGAATGTGCTTTCTGATCTGGTGACGTTGGGTCAGGCTCCTGAATGGGTGCAGGCTGCGCTTCGTGAATATCCAGGGAAGAGAGAATCTGGAAAAGCTACGAGGCAGGAACACTGTTCTAGAAACAGTGGGGAGGGGAGTACGGCTGGAGCAGAGTGAGTGAAGTGATTGAAGTGAATCTGCTCCATGTACATTCTGAGCTAAAGAGAACATGATCCGCTGTAAGGTAGGAGGTGCCCTGGATCACGTGAGGACTCAAAGGCCTTGGGAAGGACATTGAATTTTATTTTGAGGAAGATTCATGTTTAGAAGGTTCTGACAAGTCTAGTGCTATGACCTGATTTGTAGTTTTAAAGGCTTCCTCTGACTCTGGCTGTGGCAGTGGGAATGGGGACAAGAGTGCCAGCGAGGAGCCTTTTAAGGGTCCAGGCATAGGATGATGGTAGTTGGACTTGAGGTTACAGCAGAGGCACCCAGTTTCTTCAGTGTTGGCGGTGTTGCTGATGGATGTGCTGGTGGAGGGGATGGGGCATCTGAGATAAGAAGATGGGGAAGATGCCTCCAGGGTTGTGGTGTGAGCAACTGTAGGACACAACCTCAGCTTTATAAGACAGGCCAGACTGGAGGGCAGGAACCGGTTGGTGGGGAGTGTGTGTCAGTAACTTAGGCTTAGATATGTTCATTTTGAGGTAATCAGATGAGTCTAGATTTCGGGGAGAAGTCTGGACTGCAGGTTTAAATTTGAGCACCCTTAGTTTAAAGCTATGGGACTGGATGTGGCCTGTGGACAAAGGACAGATAGAGAAGAAAGAGGTACAAAGAAATTAGGGTAGGGGGCTAGATCCTGGTGGAGAGTTTGATTCTGGCGGGGTACGGGGAATGTGCTTTCTGATCTGGCGACGTTGAATCAGAGCCTTGGTTCCCTTCAGTTTAGAGTCAGGAAGGAGAGGGTCCAGCAGAGGAGCCTGGAACAGAGCAGCTGGGGGCAAGGAGATGAAAGTAGAAGTTACATCCCAGAAGACAAGCAAAGAAAGGGTTTCGGGGGAGGAGTGACCAGCTCTGTCTGACCCTGCGGCAGATCAAGTGAGAGGAGTCTGGGAAGTTGACTGGCTTTGGCAATGCTTTGACCCTGTGTTTGATTTGCGTAGATGTGGTTTAAGAGAGGATGGAAGGGCGGGGGAGGAAGTGGGGACCACGAGTTTGACAACTCTTTGGAGGATTTTTTGCTGTAAAGGGGAACAGAGAAATGGGGTGGAGGATCATCTAGGGGCAAGGGAGGGGTTTTTCATTGTGTATGTGCTTGTTTTTTTACCATGGGAGATCGTTGATGCTGATGAGAATGATCTTGGAGACGATAAGGAAAAGCCCACTGTGCAGGGGTGGGGGGCCGCCAGTATAGCCATGATGTTCTTGAGTAGAAGGGATGTGTCTCAGAGTGACCAAAGCACTGGTGGTAAGGATTCATTCTGGGGCCCAAAGTGCAGGAGGTAATCCTATGGAATTTTTAACTCAGAGGATTGACCGATGGACTCCTTTCTTCAGAAGCCAGGGATGTGAAGGTTAGAAACTATCTTTTTAACTCCCAAATTAGGCTCCAGGTAGTTTCATAGTTTTCTTGGATGGGCTATAACTTTCCAGAAAACTGGACACACCAGTGTAGGTATTTGACTGCCAAGTGCAAGATGTGGTGAGTGGGACAAATGCTTTATTCCTAGAGGGCTTGCGGAAGCCTTCTTGGAGGTGACATTTGACCTAGGCCCTAAGGAGGTGGTGGTGAAGATTTTGATGATAGAGCCATCCAGGAAGAGGGAACCATGGGACCAAACCACTGACATGTAGTGTACATGACATTTTAGGGAACAACACAGATCCAGTGTGGCTGCTTCACAGTATACAGGGTTGGGTGAAGGGAGCGAGTGGAGCTGAAGTTAGATCAAGGTTATATCATGAAGGGCTTTAATTTCTCACAAGAGAATCCGTACAGGAGGAAAATAATATGAGACAGAGGATTTTGGAGAATGGATTGGACTCATTGCCTTCTTACTCAAAGTGTTGTCCACGGACCTATGAGCACCTCCTGGGAGCTCATTAGAAATGCAGAATCTCTGGCCCCACCCAGACCTGCATTAGAATCTGCATTTTAACAATACCCTCAAGTGAGTCCTGTGTGCTTGAAAGTTTGAGAATCAGAGGAGTGGAGGGTTTTTGCTGCTGTTCATTTTGTTTATCCGTGAACTAGCTGCAGTAGTAATTATTTTAGAAGAACCTTTCTCTCGTGCGTCTTTTTAAGCATACGCAGAAGAAGAGGTGCCGTAAGAACTGAGTGGTCAGCTCGTCAAATGTTACCTTGGCCGGATTCAGAAATGAGCCTGCTGTTACTCACATACGTTGCAATTGAGTCAAATCTGAAGCTTTCCTCCTGAGCTCCTCAAGGAGGAAAACAGTCTGAAGAATGCCCAGAGCCTTTCTGTTTCCCAGGGGGCGTTTGAGATTAAATAGGTTTCTGGGAAGTAGTAGTTAAAGAAAATTGATTTGTACCCTGGATGTGAAGCGTTGTGCTCATTATTTTAAAGGTCTGTTATTATCAAACTTGGTTCAGAGTCATTGTGCACCGGGAACAGTAAGGTGGGTGAGACTCCAGGATAAGCCGCCTTAAAGGCTCCACAGTCTTAAGCACACGGGGCCCTAACAAAGAGCTTCACATCCAACTCCCCCGAGGGGCCGTCATCTGGGGACAATGGTCCTTTCCCAAAGCCTCACAATGAATTGGTGGAAAGTTCTTGACCTTTTTTCTCAGACTGAGTTGCCTTTTAGAAAAATTGTGCCTGATGAAACATGCGACTTTATCCTGTAACGGGTCACTGTGTCCTGCAGACGCTGGAATGCTCACCTCCCTCCTGTCTGCTGCCTTGCTTCCTTCCATTTCCCTTGCTGCTGTGTTTCTTACTGTTTGTTGGTTTGTTTCTCCCACTTCTCCTTTTATTATTTTTCCTCTCACGTCAGCATTATCTTTTTGCTCTTTTTCTAAACATACCCTTGTCCTGATCATTTTTGTGACTAGATGCTTTGTACAAGAGGAAATCAGGGGCCACCCTCTCTGTTCCATAGGTAACATACCGAAAGTTCCTCGGTCACCCCAGAGCGCTGGCATCTGATGACCAGAGGCTTCCTGGTGGCTGATGGGTGGGTGTGTGGGAGATAGGGCAATATGGCAGTTCTCATGGGGCAATTTTGCCCTCAGAGGACATTTGGAAATATCTGCAGAAATTTTGGTTTCAGCTCCGTGGGGGCCACTATTGGCATCTGGTGGGTAGAGGCCAGGATTGCTGTGAAACATTCTGCAGTGCACAAGAGGATATCTGCCTCAAATGTCCGAAGTGCCAGGGAAGATGCCCTGCTTGCTATATGGCGATGAGGCTGCAGGCCTCATCTTACTATCTAAATACATGTAAAAATAGGACCATGCTTATTTAGAAATTTATTTATTCATATCCCTTCTTGTAAGTAAGAGAATCAAATGCTGAGGTGGCCCAGGAACCAGCCTCATAGAAGGTGAAAGGTGAGGGGCCCTGGATAAGGAGCCTGGAGAACTCAGATTTGAGCCCCCAAGTCACTCTGTCACTTACCAACCACGTGACCTGGCCTGGTCACTTTACCTCTCTCAGTGTCAGTTCTTTACCTGAATAATGAGTGCTTGGAATATGTGAGCTCTGAGGTCCTTTAGAGTTTCATGATGTCTAGAAGAAAATTTATTTAGCTTTCTCTTTTTCTTTTAAAAAATTAAAATGAGTATCAGATGCAGAGATATGGTCCAACTAGTACATTGGATTTTTGAAAGGTACCCTTAACTGCTTTTCTCTGTTGGAAAGACCATGTAACCAGTTTTGATAAAATAGGGAGAAAAAATAAACAGCGTCTTTGATTTGCTTGTTATTAACAGTGACATCACAGCTGCTCACTGTGGTTATTGATGAAGAGCCGAGTAAAGCGTAGCATTGCGGGTAGGAAGGAGTGGCAAAATGCCCACTGTTTTCCTTTGCTGTGAATCAGTCTTCTTGTGATTTCAGGTGGGAAACAGAAGCAGGAAGAAGTAAACATCCTGTTTTCGGGCAGTTGCCTTCAGCCTTGGAGAGTTTTAGGAATGGGGAATCGCTGTTGGATTTAACAATGAGCAGAAAAGTGCTCAACCATTGTTTAGGTTTTGGGTTTTAACTGGAGAGCGTGGAGCAAGGCTTACCTTTGATGCGGGCTCCTAAGTCCCACGATAGCAGCCTTGCCTGTATTTCTAAATATGAATCTAATCAACCTTGCAGAGGATGAAAGACTTAAGAGAAGGCAAACAGGGAAGCACAGATGAAACAGTCAGGATGAAAGCTTGGCTTCTGCTGTCTTGGACCACAAGTGACTAGTGCTCTTCGCGCTCTTCAGAAGGACCGGGCTGTGCCGACTCCCGCCCGTAGCCCCAGCGCCCAGCTGCGGCCCTGCGGTACCGGGACCTTTGAAGTTGTGCGGCTGAAACAAGCGTCCCTTCCACTGTGAGGAACTCAGCTTCCTTCCAAGGCTTCTAGACGCTGGCATCTCTGCTGCCCAGGGATTCCTGACGTTGGCACGAGGGTGATGGATGTAATAGGC